TCTCTCTCTCTCTCTCTCTCTCTCTCTCTCTCTCTCTCTCTCTCTCTCTCTCTCTCTCTCCCCCTACTAAAAATAAAAAATATCAGTTCTAAAATGCAGATACAAATATATCACTTAAAATTATGCACAAATAATGAACATCGGAGTTATTAAGCAGTAATAATTAATCATTACTAATATATATACTTAATGCATTTCATGTCATAATTTTTTATAATAAAGATAAGTCTCAAGGTGGTTCAGTAATATGTCGTTCGCTATTTCGAATAATTCAAATAATTGTATGGGAAGCTTCGATAAACTTACGGATCTCTGGTAAGTCTGTAACATGATTCGTTTGTGAGAAGGAGACAATACAACAGTGACGAATGCAATACTTTTTAACGTAAACACGCACGTTATAAAAATTTGCGATCAACAATACCCGAAACGAAGAATAATCTCGCGGGAGAACTGTTTAAAGTTAGTCGTAAAGCAAAAATCGCGAGAGTCATGTCGGTAGTGCCATCTGATATCGTGAACACAAAATTTTTCAAAGTGCTTAGTCAATAACATAGGGATTTCTAATTGTTGATTATTTTTTAATATACAAAGAGAAACAGAACAAAATTGTGGATATAATCGAACAAAATTAAAACATACGTTTGAATATTCAATTTCGAGTTCCTTAAAATTCAACAACTTTTATTTCCATATAGTAGGAGATGCGAAATTTTTGTTAAGAATTATGAACATTTATTAACATGCATGCAAAAAAATTAAATTCATATGTAATAAATAAATTAAAACATTCAAATCCAGCAATTTATTTCCATCGAGAGCACCGCAAAAAAGTGGATATTGTTGTGTAATTTACATCCACTTCTTCAGAGGGCAATAGTGCGCGAAGGCATTTTATGGTTATAAGATAAAGGCTCTCATATCTTCTCTTCGGTTTCTCTCTGCTTGCACTTTCTGCACTCAGGTTTTTTATGCTCTTTCTCTCTCTTCAATGATCGAGTATACATCCATCTCATCTTAGACGCGAAAAGTGCTTGAGCCGCTTGAGATCGACAGTGCAAGCAAAACAAACGGACCCAAGAATGAAAAGAGTTCAAATACGTTACGATCATAACGAACGATCATTACGAAAAGGGAAAACAACATGTCTTGAGCGCTAATTGAGAATAAATGACAAGAAAACTCACCGGTATAGATAATTTTGTATCTTTTCTTTTGCACGGAGTTTAATCCTGTGTGTATGATACATGTAATTTTGATAAAATGGATTTAAATTTTGCGAATACTGAACTTACTCCAGCCAGTACTCCAGCATTTACTCCAGTGCTTACTTACATTTTGTTAAAGAAATATATTGCATGAAATTAGAATATTTGCAAGATCATAATTTTGGCAAATTAAAAAACTCATTGCTTTCATAATCTAATAATCCTTGCTACTTTTTATTTATTTGTTTTAAATATCTTGATTTATAGTTTCTCTAGTACATATATCTTTCACTGTTAGGTAAAAATAATGTTAAGCCATTATAACATTTATAAATTCATTGTATTTTCTTATACAAGAACAGATTTATCATGGACGAAGTTGTAGATAATTTTGCATGGACTCGTCAGCTCGAATGTCCACTGCCATTATACAATGAATCGGTG